GCAGCCGTTGAGAAAGTAAACGCACATCAAGACCGCAAACCGGCAAAAAGGGGGGAGGTGAAACAGGCAGGGGGGAAAAACGTTGGTTGATGACAAAGAACGTCGCCAAACGAGATAACGGTACAACACGAGCAAACCACGGCCACCAGCGGCAACAAACTCACGGCCAGACGGTCGAGGACGACCTTGACGAGCGGCATAACCTCGAACGCTTCGGGTCCCACCGTGATCTCGTAGTACAGCTCATCCACGAGCTCGTCGATCTTGTCGAGGACGATCTGTCGCGCGCGAGCATCGGCAGACAAAAATCGCACAGCATATGAAGACTGCTAAGAAACACTTTTCATCGTCACTTTTTCAATGATAAGCTTGTCACAGCCACGAATTTAGCACGTGCAGCTCAAGAAAGCGATGTTTATCGTCAGTAATTGTATGATAAAATGATAAATATATTGTCGCCACGACAGGATGGTGATACCACGTCGTGTATCGCTCCGCGTGTCGGAGATTGACGCTCAATACCAGAGATGGCCCCTCCATGCTACGGCACCACCCATCAGTATATTTTCAAGAAAACTTACATCAAAACACCGAAAGACTACCCGTTCGAGACAATACCACAGCAGGCGAAGGCGATGTGTTACAGTCTTGCAGCGAGCGGGGGGGGGGAAACCTGAAATATATCACGCGGCGGCACCGCCGGTTATTTCTCACGTCCTCGTCCATGTAGAATTCGTTGATGGTCTTGAGGTAGGCGTCCGTGAAAACGTGGAACCACCAGTCCCAGGAGCTCATGTTCTCGTGGGCCCCGTAGCAAGGGATGTGGTAGGCTCTGTTTTCGCGGAAAAAAAGGACGACAAACGAGCATACGCCGACCAACACGCGCAGGCACCCAACTGTCGCTCTTCAGACTACGTGAGTAGCTGTAACTCTCTTGATTGTTGCGTGGCCGGTAAGATCGCCACCATCTTTTAGCAGGAAAAAAAAAACAAAGAAAGAAACACAACACTTCTCTGTTGGTGAGCCAATTGGTGCGGTTGAGGACAACCGAGGAGGAACCACATTGCGTGTAGTAGAATAGACTAGAAAGCGCGTTCACGTTTTATAGCCCACGATAACTGCTGTCGTTTGTCCATTGGCCAGCCGATCAACGTGGTCGACGCTAGTTTGAGATACACAGGCCCACAACGAACACAGAAACGACAACGACAACGACAACGAGTGCAGTACGAAGGCGAGGGACTCTCGGACGCACAAAAAAGCACGGATGCGAGAAAAGAAAGCCGCTGGCCACCTCATTTTCAGTGCGTGTACGCCTTGGACTATGTTCTACCAAACAAAGATTGCGACTGAAAGATTGCGACCCATGAAGAAAACAAAAAGCACTCTCGCCCCGGGAACTCTTATTACAAAGATGTTACTGCACAAAACAAGCAAAACAAAGGTGGACCAAACGATACACGCAATGCACATAAGACAAGCAAGAAGAACGGTGCCAACGATTTTGCCACTAAATAACTCACGCGTCCTCGTGCGACTCCTTGAAGTGCTTCTGGAAGGCACCCGGTGGGGGCATCCGGTGGATGTAGTTGTGCGACCTGCCCAGCGCCTCCCTCATGAGAAGCCCCATGGGCAGGTGCCAGTTGTACAAGACACCGTATGCCGAGAAGGTAACCAGCTCCGGCTCCTGGTCCCACGTGTAGTCGGCCATGACGCCTTCGTCCTCTTCCTGCATGCGAATAAAAAAAGCACAAAAAACGAAAAAAACGGTGGCAATGGGGGGGGGTCACGTGCTGGAGGCAGGGGGCCATCGATGTGGAGACCGACAAGCCGCTACATATTGTTGCTATAATGACGTCGTTGCTATGACCCAAACGACTCACGCGGCTGTCGTCCGCCCTATAAGCTAAAAGAAGAAACGGACCCCATGTTTACATTACAAACTTGACTCCATAATTGACGTCGAGACCTTTTCGGGCAATTCGATTCAACCAACTCTCAGCAGCCAAGAGTAGACTCACAGCAGTGGAAAATCACAGGACACCAGAAGCGGCCCGCTCTTGACATTCACTTGTAGAGAGAGCCACTGCCGGCTATGTGTGTACGTGTATAACGGTGAATTCGCACCACGACACAAAAACACCCGAAAAAAACGGCAGCGGCCAACCCAGCATCTCTGGAGAAGCCGCCCACCACACGAAACGAGGGTTTCGACCATGGATCAAAATAGGTGCAACAACACTCGCTGCAGTTCCCCCCATCGAACGAACAAATCGGACCAGTGGCACACTCGCGATGAGGCCGTGGAGTCAAACCCTTGGGGCGAACAAAAAAAGCAAGAAGCATCAATCTGAAAGCTCTACTGCTCATTCACGCCTAGACTACAATGATAGTGCTAGCGCCCGCGTTTACGAAACGTCAATTTGAGGTTGAGACTCAATTTCTTATTTCGTCACCCGCGTCGAGCATAGTATAGTATGGTAGGTCATTATATATTATTTTAGAGTAGGATCCACGGCTAGAGTGTGTTTCTTCGTTGATCCTTCTTGTTTATCGCCAAAACCTGAGTCTATGTTTCTTAAACGGTTGTTTCTCCATCGCGGACGCTACAACTGCTATAGTGTCGTCGAGAAACCCAGGTCGTCATCATGAAGAAAACCAAGACACTACTCACGGTGACTTCGATGAGACCGTAGTAGTTTCATCGCGGACGCTACAACTGTTGTAGTGTCGTCGAAACCCAGGTCGTCGTCATCATGAAGAAAACAAGAAAACCAAGCCACTACAGTACTCACGGTGACTTCGATGAGGCCGTAGTAGTTGTTCTTCAGGGCCGCCCTCCGGAGCCTCCTCGCCTCCGCCGGGGTGAGCTTCTTGTTCTCCGAAAGCATCACCTCTGCCCGCTCCGCCTGGATCTCGTAGTTCATCACGCGCGTCGCCGTCTCGAAGTGGATGCGCTCCCTCTCCGACCGCTCGAAGTCGATGTTGGCACGCCTCGCCGCAGGCTTTTTTTTTATTATTATTAGGTGGCGGTTTCACCGACGGCCCAGGGTCGGTCGTCGCGGAAAAGGCGCGAGCACGGGGGCAGCAAGGACGGGGGTTCAATGGAGAGGGGGTGAGGGTGGGAGGGGACTCAAACGTGCAACCTCCGCAGTGCCACTTTTCTGAAAAAAAACACCACCGGCTTTTGCAACACTACATCAAGTTCCTGCACACGTGTGCACCACGCGACGGTAGAAACAAAACCTAAATAAGCATACCAAACAAGATGCCACGTATGTAGGCGTATCAATAACCGCGCCTCCGAGGAGGTTTTTCCACGCCGCCCGTAACGAACCTCTCGGTGAACACGAGCAAGCGTCACGTGCATCCATACAACTCAAGACACACACCAACTGAACTATCCTACACAAACCGTATCCAAAACACTCAAGAACACGCACCACCGGAAGTATCCTACGCAAACCAGCGCCTGCACCCAGTAAACACACACCAACGGAAACATAAAACATCCTGAACAAACCACCACCGCCGCCGAGGAAACGCACCAGGCCCCCGTAATTAACGTCCTGAAGAGCGGCCGCTTCGATCTGCTTAGAGGTCATCTCCCTGGGGTCCGGCAGGGTCGGGTACGGCGCCTGCGGGATGTCCGGGAAGGCCGACTCCAGCTCTTCCCTCGTGGGAGTCA